AAATGAACATATCTAATCAAGTGTCTCATTATTAGACTTTGACTTAGCTTTTTTAAAATGTATTCTAATACTTCTCTATATTTTGTGATTAATGCAAAGGCCTCAAATTATCTTATTAATAATATGATGAGTTGGGCCTTTAATACTAATTTAGGTATAAATTTTATTATAGAGTGTGGCTACCTCCTACGCATTCAAAGATTTTCTTAATTTCAATTTTTATTGTGATTTTTCTAGGTCCATTTGAATGCCAAGTTGCAATACTAATCAATCTAAAAGTTCACCTTACCAAAAACTTCATGAGCATTTCTTGGAGCATTCATGTTTGCATAGTCCTTATATAGCTAATTATACATAGATAGGTGTAGTTTTGTAATCTCCACAAATTGCAAAATTGCTAAAGAATATTTAAGTGCATTTGTAGATATAGAGTAAAAATACCTTGAGTTGGACTTATTAAAAAGTTCCTCTGATGTTGCAGAGTTTTTAAGATAGTTCCTTCAAAACATATGAATTCCATGGTGTAGTAAACATTATCTTAAGCACATTTGCCTCATATACCATAATTTGCTAGTATCTAGTATATCCATCTAAAAACAAAAATAAATAAATAAATAAATAAATAAAATCTTATAAACAATTATGTTGTCTAATAATCTATTTATATATAATAGTTGTTGTTTATTTATTTTAGTAATATGATAGTGGGCATAATAATTTATGCATATTTTTATAAAAAATATCAAGTATTTTATTTGAAGTATTACTTGAATATAAAAACATCAAAGTATTATTATTTTTGATAATAATTTATGCATATTTTTTTAAGTCACCAAAATAACAAGTAATACTTCAAAAACTTGAAGTAGATAATAAAGTTTGAATAGTGATATTTGAAGAGGTGATATTTTGAATGATCCGTGATATTTGGGTTTCCAAAAACCAAGAACAAGTTCTTTGTACTATAGTTTCTATTGCTTGCTTAACATCGGAGCCGTATCTCTTGAATGTATGCCGCTGCTACATCTATATGTCATCCAGGCATGCAATGGACTTTGTGAGAACTCGGGGTAATAGATTGAGGTGGTGCAACTCTTCTAATTTGTTGATAATGATTCCTCTGAGGTCTTGGAGGAACTATGCTACTGATCGGAAGAGCTTTCTAGGGGATTGTACGCACTGGGCTCGTGCTCTGCATTGGGTGTTACTCGCACGCTTACTCGGTTGGATATTGAACCAATCCATAGGTTTTCTTTTTCCAGTGTTGCACTGCTCTTAGTGCCCGAAGCCACAAGCGCCTTGGGAAGATAGGATAGTTCACCTTTGCCTCCATCTCGCTCGAAACGTAGAAGTCTGCTTTGATGGTGACAACGTTCATCGTGATTGGTACTTGCAATAACATGCCGATCGCTTTCACGTTATTTGGTGGTATTTTAAGCAAGATTCTGGTGGCCCTCACATCCATTTGTTGTATTTTATCGAGCAACCAACTTGCTATGATGTTGAGTGTGGCTCCAACGTCCACAAATTTTATGAAACTGGGTGGTTCAAAGTGTCAAGGAAGAAGACAACTCTTTTCTTAAATAATTACCAAAAGTTTGTTCCAACTCCAAATTTAATGATTTTTAGTTTGTTAGAAAGTTACCTTTGAAAATCAAATTTTAAATAATTTCAACTCAATATTTACAAAATCAAAAAAAATATCTGAGAAAAACCTAATGTCTTTTTTTTTTTTTAAATAATTTGTAAAGTCATTCTTATGCTTAGTTAAATACTAACTTTAAATCAAAGGCATAACCATTGACATTAAATTTCTAATCTTCTAGAGTCTAATTATATGAATTTCTTCTAATACTACATCTAATATACTATGACAAATTTATTGCAAGAAAATAGCCATTTGTAATAAAGCATCAAACGAAAAAATTAACAAGTTGTTTAGTTGCTATAATACTATAAGAATCTTGTTCTACTCTTGCACAAATTTTTTATATAATACTAAATTTAATGAGCAATATTAATGTGTATAAATGCTACTTATTAACAAACTTGTCAAGTATTTTTCTAAACAATTGTTATAATACCATTGTGGCAGTCTAATCCTACTCAATAAAGAAATTGGCAACCTCCTAAGCTAATATAAGTCCTTAACTAATAGCATTTAGTCCTCCAAACTCATATTAAAATTATATTATATTTATTATTTTACCTTTTCATATTTTTTAAATTGTGATATTATCACTTTAAAAAACTGATAAAACAATAGTTCTTTAATAATAGCATATTAACATCAATATAAATATTGATAAATAGAAAATTTATCAGAAAAATTATAAATTACTTTAAAATATAAAGATGTCAAAAATAGTTTGTGGATCATATATAATTAGAATATTTTCTATGCTAGCTCAAAAAGTAAATAGATGCCACTGTTGAGGCATATCCTAGTTTTTTACCTGTCTAAAATGCTTTCAGAACAATACTTCTTGACTATTTTTTTAACACATAGAATAAATAATAATCTGATTTCAAAAATATAATCATTTATATTTTTGCAAGAAAAAAAATTTAAGAATAACAAGAACAACAAATAAAAATAAATCACACATAGTTATAACTTCTATCTTTATTACAAAGCATATTCTAATATTTTGTATCACTCTACATTTTCAATTTGGTATACTTTTAATTATAATAGACAATGATCATCTACATACAATAAACAATGTTTACAACACAATCACTTAATAGGTGTGTAATTCATCTTAATTGAGATGTTTTTTTATAATTTTTTAAAAGACAAGATAAATTAACAAAGTTAATCAAATATTTATTTCAAATAATATCATATATATATATATATATATATATATATATATAAAAAAAATTATATTTAATTTTTATAAACATAATTCCTAACTTTCAGTTTTATTTTTAATTTAATTAGCTGAATTTTTCAAAATACACATATTGAATGTAAAATTAAATCTAAGAATAGGTTAAAATTATAGAAATCTATTATATCTAAAATTAAAGATTTTCTATTTGTTCTTCTTTGTATTAAAAAAATGATAGTTTCAAATATATATATATATATATATATAAAAACTTGAATATTCGTGTGTAATTATATATATATATATATATATATATATATATATACATATATCTATTTACACACACACAAATCAAACAAAAAATTAAAGCTTCATTATCTTTAATAAAATATTTTAAATTATCTTTGTTGTTATCTATTATAAAAATTAATTATATATATATATATATATATATATGTTTTGTATATGTTGTCTAAAAGAATTATTTAATTAATTATATATCATAATCATTATAAAAATAAAAAAAACACACAGTCAAATCTATATGTAGTGCCAAGATGTTGAAAAAAATTATACTTGATGAATTTCTAAAAGGTAAATCAATGCCAAATATAAAGTATTACAAAACATAAAATATGCCTATTAAAGCTATAGGAATTTTAAAAAATAAACAGAAAATATTGTAGAAAGTTGAAATTACACAAATCAAACTTACTCATCTTTTAAATAATTTAGTAACTAAAACATTTAACTATATTTTTTAGAAAACAAGAATTACTATGTCACAATTTCGAATTTTCAAAAATAATTAGTAAGATCTTTTAATTTCAAATAAGATCAAATTTTTTTATTGAAAAAATTCAATCTACATAACATTGATGCATTTTAATGATATCAATGAAGATTCATTCATAAATTTGCTTTACAATTTTTTGAATTGTAAGTGCAAGTTAATTCTTATAACTGAATTACATATCAGTGTGTGTGTGTGTGTATATATATTAATAATAGCAATTAGATGTTTCAAAACTACTCTAATGTATACATGAATAACAAAAATATATAGTTCTATGTGTGTGTATATATATATATATATATATATACAAATACATATACATATATATAACATGTATATAATATTGATACTTCTTGTACACACAATTCCACTTAAAACATGTTTTGTAGATGTTATCAGCTGGCCATTCTTATTAAAATCAAAATATTCTATTACACAATGAAGAAATTAACTAGGTTTATTCCATTGCAAAGTCCGAATTCAATTGTGGATACTATCTGAAGATTTCAATGATGCTGTGTGTTAGCAATGTTATTGTATTTATTCCGTGACATTCTCATCATACCCTCCATATTAGCATTTTGGTGTATCCACCAAGCTAGATCTGGGGCATTCTGTGTCATGACTCCCAAGCACCTACATCCAAAAACCACAGAAAAGGAACAAAAGAATAAAATAAAACAAGAACACAATAACATGAATGAAAAGAACCTCACAAGACTTTCCGAGCCTCAAATGCAACTAAATAGTGAAAATAACCACTTCATCTTTTGCAAGATGTTGGGTGCACAGGTCTGTGAAGTTAATACTCTAGAGCTGCCGTTATATAAGGTTTGCTCCACCACATATTTTCGCACGCGAGTACTGTCTGCGCATCGGAAAGAGATGGCTCTAAACTGGAAAAATGGGTAACAACGACAACGGAAAAAGGTAGTGACACTCGTGTCAACATTACGAACTCGAAGCTCAGAACATCAGTTGCCCCCTCAAGTCGGTTTTAAACGCAATTGCAGGACACTCCAACGTGTACCGGCGCGAGTGCACATGGGCTCGCACAGCTTCAAAAACAGCAGGTCGTGAGCGTTTAAGTTTCATACAAGACATGCTTCTTTAAACAAGTCTTGAAGCGAAGCACTAGGTGTACAGCTCACAAGGCCTTGCCGGAAGGTTGGGATGCCGGAGATGCATTCTCGTTACATTCAACATGTTGACATTCGCGATGACCCAAAAATAGAAAATATATATCTAAGGATCACAGACACGACGAAGGTTCTTCACCTACTCACCCGCTACAAAACCTGGAAACCTTATCTCAGATATCCTTCAAAATCATTGGGAATCAAGTTGACGATCCAGAAAATTAGGCACACATCGAGTCTAGGGGTTAACATTGTTTCGAGGGATTTCCCCAGTCGACGTCGTACATCGCATCTGAGCCTTTCTGCAGTCTTCGAGGCCGCACCCTTTCGTTCCTTCCTGGCCGCTGCTTGTGACTACCAGAAATTACAGTCGGTAGAGAGAAACTGGCCTCGACACAGAGATGAACTGAGTTTGGTTCCCACAGAGCATTAAATTGAAATCAGAATTACTAACCCAGAAACACAACTTGTGAGGTATGGATTGATGATAAAAAGGAATACTGAATTTTAGCCAGTGCTTCTCAGATTGCTCCCCAGAAACTGCTTATCATCGTTTGAGCGTAGTATGTATTACGTCACAGGATAGAGCGTTGTTCGTTTTCATGGCCCCACACCAACCACATTCTATCACGCACCCTTAACGCATTTAACCCATTCTGGCCATCAGCACCTTTGTTGACCTGCAGGTCGGACGGCGCCCCACCAATTCGTGTCGTAGGTTCACAGTGAATGAGGAACTCTGCTTTTTCTCACCAATCATATGCAAAGAATTGATGTGCAAACCACGCGCCACTGATTGCAGAAATAATTTGGCGTCAGATTGCCTTAGTGCCCATGTATCTAGCAGGTTCCTAGCGGCACAGAACACCAATCGTGCCCTGCCTTTGAACTTGTGGGTGCAATTGATTGATAGAAGAGTGACCTTCATAACAGCCGACGACGGCAGATTTTCTTTTTCTTTTTTCCTTCTGTTTTTCAACAACAGCTCTTCAAAACTTCTCTCTCTGTCTGAGAGTTGGTTGCAAGGAATTGGGTACGAGGAACTTAGGTCTCCTTGGCAACTTGAATTTTGCCTGCCATCAGCTTCTCTAGGTAACAGAAGCCTCTACGGTTGCCCTGTAACAAATAAAGCGTGAATTGGATCAATCCTGTAAATTTGTTTTGAAACCAACTTTAGACTTAAGATCGTCTCCTGGTTGTTTATTTTGGGCTTGGAGCAGGTATTTCACCAGCTTCAAATTGTTGGGGTTTCACCAAAGATTCGCCACTGTGTAAGGTTGTAGAGTCTCTTGAACTTTCAACTGTAGCTGGAAACCTACCGAAGAGCCAGATGCTGATTGCAATTCTTCTCATGTGGTACAATTCTTGGCGCAGGTTGTCGAGGATGGCTAGCGTTGGAGAGCTGTACGAGCGGGATATTCAACCATCACAGAGTGAATCTTCGGGACTGGGAATTTTGTGGACCCGGACTCCTATCAATTGTGGAATTTCTTCGTTGAGTAATGTCGCCTACTCTATGGATGACAGGGAACCTGAAGGAGGATGCAAGTCGCGGGCATTTGACAATCACAGGTTCGCCCTCTTTGCTCACTATAATTGAAGTGGTTTTTAGACATCGTAGCTGTTTATGAAATCAAATGCTATACAGGAATGATTAATGGAGATCGAACTCGCGGAATTGCGTGATGCTTGCTATACAGTGACGGGAGGGCGGAAAGATTGGCGATTCTACGCAATTACGTCGGCGGCAAGTCAGCCACGCCTGATGTGTCGCGCATTCGAGCTCCACGAAAAGGTGGGAAACGCCACCATAATGTGGCCAGTGGCGATCGGAGCCTTTTGATGTCGTTGAAAGAAGGTGGCGACTCTGAAAACGCAAACGTGGATGGGATGAAGCGCTTCCGACCCAAAGTAAATGTCCACCAAATTGTGCTGAGATTTCCCTGAGTAATTTTTGATGACGATACCGTCGAACTCATGACATTCGAAGCTGCGCTCGCTGAAACTGTATTTTATTGGTGCTAGTTGCTGACGACGATGATATGCATTTTTACAGCTACTGAAGGGGTTGCCCAGCTACGTGAAGATTGTAGAAGTAGGGCCACGAGATGGCTTGCAGAATGAGAAGACGACTATCCCCACCTCCGTTAAGGTGGAGCTTATCCGCCGGCTTGCTGGGGCTGGCTTACCGGTCGTAGAAGCGACGAGCTTTGTCTCTCCTAAATGGGTGCCGCAGGTATCTATAGAGTTACACACACTTCTTAAGAACACAATGAATTTTCTTACACTTCTTGAAGCATGTAGAAATAGATTATTTGCTACTCTTTGGAAGTTTTCGCTGAATCATTGTTGCGTGGGTAGCTTGCAGATGCAAAAGATGTCATGGCTGACGTCCGGAATTGCAAGAGCAGGTGCCAATTTCCAGTGTTGACCCCCAATCTCAAGGGTTTAGAGGCAGCGATAGAAGCTGGAGCGAAAGAGGTGGCATTTTTCACTGCAGCCTCGGAGTCATTCGTCAGGACCAACATCAACTGTAGCCTTGAAGAGAGCTTGGTCCGTGGCCGTCAGATCTGCAAGGCAGCTCAGGGGCGAAACATTCCTGTTCGTGGGTATGTTTCCTGTGCAATCGCATGCCCCATCGAAGGGCCAGTGCCGGCAGCGAAAGTTGCTTATGTGGCGAGAGAACTCTACGACATGGGATGCCACGAGATCTCCCTCGGTGACACCATTGGCGTTGGCACGCCAGGGACAGTTGCGCCGATGCTCGAAGCTGTAATGGCTGCGGTGCCAACTGAGTGCCTTGCAGTGCATTTCCACGACACCTATGGTCAGGCACTGGTGAACATCCTCATCGCACTACAGGTATGAAACGTGCCCGGAAATGCCGCATAGATACACTATAGAAACTGAATTCAAGTGTTATGGACATGGATACCAATTTCGATACTAAAAATGAGGCTGGATGAACTGTGTGGTAAATGATTGGTACTACAGATGGGCATCAATGTGGTGGATTCATCAGTGGCGGGTCTGGGTGGTTGCCCTTATGCTAAAGGAGCCACAGGAAACGTGGCCACGGAGGATGTGGTGTACTTGTTGAACGGCCTCCGCATTCAACACGACGTCGACCTGGACAAGGTGATTGCAATCGGTGAATTTATTTGCGACCAACTGGGCAGAACTCCTTCCTGCAAAACCACAGTCGCCACCATAGCCAAGCTCCAGTCGGAGAAAGCTAAATTGTGACAACCGCTCGCACTTAGGACATCCACACAACATTTTCATCCTAATTTAATTGCCAAATTCAAGATTGCTGACTGATTCAATTCTTCCATTAGAACCTGCCACTCGCAGCAAATCGACTGTTCGCGACGTACTGTAGTAGACCAAATCAACTTCATATAAATTATTACTTTCCCAGTAAGACGATGCAGTTGATTGATTGTCAGACTTCAACATTTTGTCACAATTGAATATCCGAGTAATTCTCAATTCGTGTCTTTTGATTCATCTCGCTGAAAATAGCGAGTTGTTGAGAGATTTAGAAGTAATTTCTTACGCAACTCGTTTGTATGCACACGCTTGCAATTTCCAAACTACTAGGCCCAGGTTCGATTCTACAACTGCAAGAATTATCGATACTATACAAGTATACAATCTGAAGCAGGAGCAGGAGGAAAGGTCTGAAAACAGATTCAGAGGCCTGGAGGCTTCAACTGCGGCACAGGGCTAAAGACGCGTTCCACATCGATGGAGTAACGCAGCAGCGACTTGAGAGGCTCCTGCACGCGGGCTGAGGTCTTCCAACTGTTGTACCACGGACCTCCTCCAACCTCCAAGGCACACATATCACTCGTGGTGTCCAGGATCATTTTCCCAGACGACCGATTCCTGATTGTCAATTTCAGCTTCCCAAAGAAGGAATCTCTGCACATCGGTGCCAATCCAAGATCCGCAGTGGGGGCTCGCAATGTGCAGCCAGGCGAATCGCACGTTGCTTCCAGATTCACTTCATAATCATCTCGCTTGGCTGACATTTTCCAGGACCCCCAGGTGGAAATGTCCCACTCAACGCTCCCTTCCCACGGGACGAACTCGTAGAACTTGCCGTCGTAGTGTATTCCCACCATGGCAACCTCCTCGTATGCGCCTGGTACCAAGGGCAGCCCTCTCCGACCCCCGCCAGCTGTCAGGGCTACCTCACCAGACACTCCTTCAAATACATTGCATTGAATCCAGAACCATTTCAAAGGAAATGAGCCACCCCAGTTCTTCTCCGAGTATGAGGGCGCGTCTTCAAACTCGTATCGCTGCCCATCCCACTCAATCCAGCCTGGGCATTCGATTCCACAACTTGTTAGGTCGAACAACTACTCGTGCATAGTAGGAGAATTATTGAACTTCGCTCTATCCAGCCTAAGCATTTGATTCCATAACTTGTTAATTCGGGCAACTACTCGTGCATTACAGGGAAATTATTGAACTTCGACAGATGCAGATGGCTTTGAAGACCCGGGTGAATTTGAAGTAAGTGTTGCCTAGCGAGAAAGAGGGGGGAATAGAGAGAGAAGGTATCGTACCCGTGGAGAGACCACCCGCCATGCAAACCTGCCAGTGGGGTTCAAAGACAGGAAGAGCAGCTAACCATCCCGCAGTAGACTTCTGCTCAGCCCCGCTATCTCCCCATCCATATATGGGGCGAGTGCTGTATTCCCACCGTGCTATTGGTACCGTCTCCGCGTAATCCGTCCTAAATTCAATACAAAGTTACGAAACTTGCAAAGGATCAATCCGTTCAGCCAAAACACTTCAAAATGCTGGGGATTATGGAAATACCAAGAAGGTGACAAGAGCGGTAATGCTCCTTACTTGCCGTTGTCGCGAAGGCAGCCTTGGTGCCATGTTGGAGTGACTTGAAATCCTTCCTCCACACGATTCACAAACTCCTGCTCTAAATCATACCCCAACCATGTTCTCTCAGCAATTCAATCCCAAAGTGCAATGGGTGGGGGAGATTGAAGAGCCTTATCACAATTGTAAAGCTTTGGTTGCAATTCTCATCATAATTACCTGAGGATTAACCTCACCCATGGGCGGCGACACTCGGCCCTTGGGCGTGAACGTGTACCCGAGCGCGAGCTCGTGTCTGCTGCCCCAGAATTTCGTCACATTCTCGTCAAACTGCAACAAATACTTGTCGTCCGCACCCATGATCTGAGCACCCACACCTGGAAAGGACATGCCCTGGAAGAGCTCACCAAATGGGAGGGACGAGGCGCTCGAGTTGGAGCCTACGCTTGGATCTTCCACAGAGTACATCCATGCAAAGCTCTGCTTCACCTCTGGTATAGACACCTTAAAATACCAGCCTTCGAAGAATCGGCGGCTCGTGCCATCGAAATGATACCTACACAATCAGGATAACTAAATTTACAATTGACATGAATCCAAATACGCCTCTACCAGAAAACCAAATTTCAGGGATTCATTACAAATTCAGGCGTGGACATTGGGTTATCAATGCACTCACCCACTGTGAGGAGTACGAGTATCCCGGTCAGCCAACGTGGGGGTATACACTGCCGCAGCGGTTTGTTTGCTCTTGACACGGTCCTTGAGAGCATTGCCCTCGGGTGTAGAGGTTCCCGTGACAGGGTTATTCTCGGCGGATGACTCGGCTTTCACCACACACCCTCTGCGGCTCGGTGCATACACTGCTACCCTCCCCAACACGCCTGTGCACGCTATCGTCATCGACATCGCCATCTCAGCCTCAATTCCTACTCCGCTCTTAAAATACGAGATCAACCTCTAATGCAGACACCCAGCAACTCAGCCGCCCTCTCGCTCATATACATCTCAGAAGAAGCGGTGAGGGACGGATTCAAAGAGGATGTAAGAATGGAGGAAGCGAGGAAGGATTACAGCAGAAAGAGCAGGGAGACGAGGTGGGGAGGAGGATTCACGGTGGTAACCATTGCAAACAAAGCACGGCGCGGCGAGGAGCCCAAATGGGTCAGTTGGCCCACGACGAGGCTCTACCCATACGCCAACCCATTCCTTTCCATCTTGCGCTCTTCTACAACACACACAACCCCTCCCCCCCCTCCCGCGCTGCTGCTGCCTCTACCGCCCTCCCGCGTCTGGCCGCGTCCTCTGCCCGGCGACTTGTTGGACGTACCCTGCCCGTCCCTTGATCTGTGGCTGGGCAGCACCCGGTGCCAAATTTGACTACGACTCCGTGGGAAGAAATATATGATCGCTTCTGTGTGGATGAATGTAGTGCGTGGCCAGTTACTAGCCAGTCGACCATTCCTCATGCTATTTCATGCTACTTTTATATAGTAAATTTGTGAATACACTCACATTGACATCTTGGGTAGATAGACTCAAGATCTTTTTTAAATTCTTTTAGAATAAAGGCTAAACTATGTGATTATGTATGCATGTATGTATATTACATTTTATTTATGATATTTTTTAAAGAATAATTATCATATATATTTTTTATTAAATAATAAATCATGTCTGTAAGTTACAGACATGATTTATTTTTCTTAAGAGAATAATTTTTATTGGAACTATTGAAAAAATAATTTATTTCAATATTCATCTCTTTTTAAACCAATAATTTTTCTTTTGCATGTTGATTTATAATTCACATCTTAAAGTTTACCAAGGTTAAAAATTTGGACTTTGATTATGATTTTAGCTCTAATAAGATATATTGTACATGATTTTATAATAAGGTGCATTTTGTTACATAAACCATATGTCATTTTTTATAACATCATCATAGAAGTTTCAACCTTTAGTTTTAAGAAATATATATTTCTTAAAAATATGGCTATCTATTTCTAAAAATAATATTAAAAAACTCAATTAGATAATTTTTTTAATTTTTTCATCATCAACAAAAAACTAGTCTTTGCAAGATATGAAAATTCAACTTATTGATGTATATATTATTGATAGATAAAATTATATAATTTATAATATATTATTAATTTTGTTATATAATTAGCAATATTTTCATAAATATTTTAATAAATTTGCATATCAATTTTCATATAATGATTCAATTATAAATATAAAATAGATTTTATCTTTATTAACTAAATATATTTTTATTTTTTTATCAATACAAAGAAAATATTAAACAAAATCACTATTTTTTTATCTTCTTTTAATTGCGCCTTCATTGTTACATGTAGCACTTACAAATAATTTGCCAAATCTTTTTCTAAAGAATTATCAACTTTTTAAAAGTCAAAAGTATCAAATCATGGATGATAACCATAATTGGCAAAAAAAGATGTTTGTTGAATAGAAGAATGTATTGAATTATTGTACGGAAACATTGCCAATGGCAAAAGAATTGTCTAATCATTTCTCAAGGACATGAATCTAAAAGAAAGAAAATCCTTAATACTCTCTTCTATAACTAATAAGAACTAGAAAGTCACTCAAAGTTGATATAATATTGAACTATAATGGCTATTGCCAAAAATAAGAAGACTTGAAAGTCTTGAAACAAGACTAAGGACTAAAAAGACATTGATAAGAGTGAAGAAGGCTTTACTTTTGTCTTCATATATACTTTTAATTAAAAGTTGTATGGCGATGTCCTATAAGATCTCTAAAACATGTTGACTTTCAAAGATACATATTTTAACTTATAAGATAATTTTTCTATATATATACCACATAGTTAGCTTGTTTAGCAAGCTATTAACATGTGCTTAACTTGTTGACCAAGTTTTTAACATATCAATCAACTATAAATACATGTAAAGTCAAATCAATATCTATAAAGCTTCTAAGAAGCTTATTTAGAAGATATTATAAAATTAATCTATTTTTATCTACTTTTATTTATTTCTAACTAATCATATAGGTATTTATGAGAATATCTATGTATATCCATAACATTATCCCTCTTTTTGAGAAAGAATTTTGTAAGGAGCAATCTTCATATGTTGAAAAAATCCAAGATGCTGTAAATTGTATTTGCCACATACTTTGATCTTTGTTTTCTTTGAAGATGCTTAATAGGTCCTCTCACCCATCAAAAGTATCTCATACTAAGGCAAGAAGACTATCCTATTATTTAATCATTGTTGTGGCCTTTATAACTTCCTTCAAATAAAACATTTGGAACACTATGAAGACTTATTCCTACCTCTAATAAAATCACCAAACATTGTAAGTCTCTTTGAAGGTTGTGATATCAAACACATTGTATCTTGCCATCTATTAGAGAAAGAACTTGTTGTTCTTTAAGATCTTCATCTTAATTTTTTCGTTTTGAAGGTTGTGACAATTGCAATGTTTTGTTTGATAAGTCCACAAATGAAATCTCTTGAATTGAATTTGCTAGTTGTTGGTTTTTCATCTCTTTAGCGTCACAAATACACAAAAGCTACAAACAAAGGTGAAAAGATAGAGTACTATCTTCCTTTAATCTTGTTACTTTTATAGCAAAGTTTTGCTATTCTTCATCTTGATTTTAATAGATATCATTGATAAAAAGCTTCAATTCTCTTTACTACATTTGTAAGATTTTTAGTTGGCTCCTATAAACATTTATTAATATCATATCCACGCCAATGAATAAGATATTCCAACCTATTTTGGCACTGCCTTGAATCTAAAACTTCTTCTACCTTGAATTCTTGATTATTATCCACTTCTATAAGAGGAGGTCGCATTTGTCTTCTTCTCGAAATATTCACTATCTTATATGGCTTAAGAAAGAACACATAAAATACAATGTGGATCTTCATAGACCTTAGTAGATATAATTGATAAGCAATAAGATTGACTTATTCATTAATAATAAAAGATTCAAGCCTACGGTAATCCAACTTATCACAAGGATAAATAGTCTTAATATTGTAACAAATTAATCATATCTTATCATCTATATTGAATTATAATTATTCTTTATAATAGGCATTTACATTAATTTTTTGTCATTCTTGAGTTTCCTTTAATTGAGCCTTCATTATTGCATGTAGCTTTAACAAATAATTTGCCAAATCTTCTACTGCAAGATTATCAACTTTTGAAAAGTCAAAAGTATCAAGTCATGGATAATAACCATAGTTGATAAAGAAAGGTATTTTTTCATTGAAAGAATGTATCAAATTATTGTATGCAAACTCTGCCAATGGTAAAAAAGTTATTCAATTATCTTCATAATAATTGATAGTACACCTCACCTACTACTCCAAAAACTTAATTTACATGTTCTATTTGTCCATCAGTTTGAAGATGAAAAGTCAAAGAGATCTTTATATCCACCTTTAAAATCTTGAAAAAGATTCTTCAAAATCTTGATATAAATTGAGTCTCCTTATCTAATATAATATCTTTAGGCAATCTGCGATAGCAATAGATGTTCTTAAAAAAAAACTTAGCTGTATCTTCACATGTGATAAATTTTGTACATTGTATAAAATGTGCCATTTTAATAAAATAATCCACTACTACAAATATAGAATCATATGAACTTGAGATTAGAAGATCCATGATAAAATCCATAGAAACAGAAGACCATGATTGTTCTAAAATAGATAACAGCTCAAAAAATCCATAAGTTTGATGGCAAAGAGTTTTGGATCTTGAACAAATATTATATGATTATACAAAGTCTTTGACTGCCTTTTACATTTGAGACTACTAAAAATCTTTAGATATTAGCTCCAAAATCTTATTGTTTCCAAAATATCCAGTTATTGAAAAGTCATGACAAGTTTGAAGAACACACAATTGTGCCTCATCTTCTGGAATGTATAAACATCCCTTGAAATAGAATAGGTTGTTTTTGAACTCAAACTTGGAAGTATCATAAGACTTAGATGAATTATTCTTGATATTATGGATAAGAAGATCACAATAAATATTTGATTGAATTTGTTTGACAAAGATTGAATCACTAGTCAATGTTGATTTTATTGCTCAAAGATAAAAATATTTTGGCTTCAAAAAAATTGTTCTTTATTGATCAAAAGATACATCTTCTTCTTTTGGTTTAAGATAAAAATATCTAAAAAGGGCATCCGACATACCTTATTATATTGTAGGTCGATAAGTGATCTTGATAAAGACATACTCTAACGAGCTTGGTAACAATTCAAAACACGTATTGACATGAAATACTTGAAGTTCTTGTAATCTATATACAGTATAACTAGATTTAAGGTGCCATTTAAATAATGATGCTATTCTTAAGATGGATCCACAATTGCTACGAATTCTTTGTCATAGATTTCATAATCAATCTCAATTGCTGAAATTTTTTTAGAATGAAAAACTATTAAATAGAGTTTGTTATCTATTCTTGTTTGTGATGATACTACATACAAAGCAAAGTTTGATGCATTTTTTTCCATAAAAAATGCCTTGAAGAAGTCAACACAATATAAGATTGGTGCAAAAGTAAACTCTTTTTTTTAAATCATCAAAAAATACTTTGACTTATTTACTCAATTCAAGTTTGACTTTACAAATCAAACGTGTAAGTAGAGGTATAACTTGAGAAAATTTTTTCATGAAGATCTGATAGTAATTGACAAAGTCCAAAAAGTATTTCATATTTCTTATTATTTCTAAAATCTTTCAATCCATGATAGTCTAGACCTTCTTCAGATCAATCATAAAGCCCTTGTTAGAAATGATATATCATTAGAAGTCAACTTGAGTAATATGGAATATACATTTTTCTAACTTGGCATATAATCCTCCATCTCTAAGTTTTTGTAATACATAACAAATATGAATTTTATATTGTTATATATTTTTAGAATAGATTAAGATCTTGACTAAATAACAAATAGTAAAATCATTAAGAAACTCTCAAAAGATATCATTCATTAGATGTTGAAAAGCAGTTGATACATTTGTGAGTCCAAAAGGCATGACATCATAGTCTAAATGCCTATATTTGATATGAAACATAATTTTTTATTCATCTTGTTTTTTTAATGCATACCATATTATATGCTCTTTATAGATCTTTTATTGTATAGATCTTTGCTTGATTCAATTGATGAAAAAGTCCTA